GGGGGGGGGGGGGGGGGGGGGGGGGGGGGGGGGGGGGGGGGGGGGGGGTAACGTAAACCACTGAATCGAATTGGTCTTGCCTAAACGGTAGGAAAGTTACTGATTATTTCTGTACAGTGAATCCCTATAAAAAAGTTTGTACTGTTATTGTAAGCATTGTCCAAAAAATGGTCGGAACGGAGTCGATTTTCCGAACAGGGTTTATGTTTGTACTGTTTTCATAACGACGTTTGTACGGGACGTAATAAATAGAAAATTTTTGATTGAGAATTATAATATAAAAAAACGTGTAAAAAACGCATTCACCGAATAAATGTTCGAAAAGGAGTCGATTTTCCGAACAATTCTGAGATTTTTTTTAAACGTGCATTCGAAGTGAAAAATGGCTTTTTACGATTTTTTATTAGTGAAACCCAAAAGTGTATAAATAAGTTACACGGGCAATTAATTTACATCAGTTAATCCAGTAATCAGGCGAATGTTTCACACGATTGTTCGATCGATCGAGAGTAAATAATCAATTATTTGTTATACAAAGTGCTCCGAAAGGGTCATTAGGGTCGGGTTTAGGGTTGGGTAGTTTCAAGAAGAGTGAACCCAGTGATATCTTCGTGTTCATCACATGATTAAACATTCGGCCTAAGTTAGGGTTAGCGTTAGGGTTAAGTGATAGTATAGTTCAGGTCAAATTTGTTAGTGCTAGTAAACAAATGACGTCATTCCAATATTTCACATGATGTGATAATCACTGGGTTCATTTTTCTTTAAGTGTCCCTAGGGTTGAACCCGAAACAAAGAATATATAAATTCCTGGTCATTCCCATAGAATCCGAATCCCCTAGCACACCCACAAAAATTGTTCCCTCCCGTGATTTTTGACTAATCAAATTTCAAGATCAGGTGAACGTAAACGATCAAAGAAAAATTTTTTTTTACAAAAAAAACAGAAATAACAAATTTTAATTAAGAAACCACCTTCTGCGGCCTAATTAAAAATGCACCTCGTGAACTTTACTAATAAAAACTCCATCGTCCTAATACTAACCTTAACTCTAACCCTAACAAAAACTACAACGTTTTATTCTCAGCAAAAATTGCGAGGGGTAATTTTTGTGGGTCGTTACCTAAGAAGTCCGGATAATATTCAGATTCTAATTATAATGAAGTACAGAAGATTAGAAGCCGAGCAGCGTTTGCAAAATATGGACATGGACATTTATGGACTATGTCCATATTATCCATATTTTTCATTGGACATAGTCACTTAGTCTAAATCGAACATGTAAACTCCTGTTCCAAATCGAAAGAGTTAGGCTGAGGTCAAATTAGGTGAAAATTTCGAAAAAGATGATATGGACATGGACACTATTTGGATTAGTCCATGTCCATATTTGTCCAAGTCCAAATAAAATTTTTATTAAATATAATTTAAATGCAAACACTGTCTTACCCGTAATTGATTTTTACTTTAAACTTACTGAGATTTTATGGAGATGACCGGGAATTTGTGTTTGTTTTATTTCAAAAGATCGGGATCGTTTTTATTTCTCGTGTAACTTAGAATAGATAAACAATCATACGAGATTATAAACTGTACCACAAAATAAGAGCAATGTTTTTAACTGCGTTAATTTTGTGTTTAATTTAATATTATTTGTGTGATAAATTCGATTATTATCGATCGATTAATAAGTACAAGTGAAACAAATAAACCTAAAATATTATTCAATTCTTACCATGGATCAATATTTATTTACCTATTCTTTTACGTAGGATAAACTGTTTAATATAATTTCTTTCTCAATATTTTTCACAAATATTTTTCTCCACATTCTTTACAAAGTTATAACCATGGTTTACTCTAAAACATACAAACAACTAACCCACCTAACTTGGCCATATCGAAAAATTGTTAAAAATAAATTTATAACTGAATGTTTATTATTAACATTTTTAACTTTGATATTATTCTTTATTGTCAATTTAAATCGATTTTCTAATAAATCAATTTCTTCTCAAATTCAAAAATTCAATACACAAATTGGTAATATTAGCAATATTATAGTTGTAATCGACGGTGATCAACATGTAAACAATCTGCAGCCTATTTACTGTAATCTGCATAGAAAAGGAAAGGACGAAAATGTATGCACGCATGTAATAGTTACTGGTCGTGAAATAAGTGGTGCAGAATTAATAAAGTCCAATTCATTATTGCCAAATTGTGATGTACCTGTATATGATTTGGAGCTTCAAAAAGCCAATGAAAATACTTTCATATCAGTTACCAAAGATATAAGTAGTGCGTTGGATCAAATTCGACCGGATGTCTTGATTTATATAAATGAATTTAAAAATGAAGCAATACGTGGTGTTGACGCTGCATTATTTGCTGCTTCTCAAAATAATCAAACCATTACAAAAATTGCATTACCTATTGAAGACGCGAAATATATGATGTGGTTAACTGATTTAGATATAGAGGCTCTTAAAAGTTTGTATTATATTTTTCTTTTAAATTTTTGTTCATCTTTTCTATCCTTTATGTCTTACCTTTTTTTATTATATCACAGATTGGAACACTCCAAACATTGAAGTACAAGTGATTACTCAAGACCGTCCTCGATCTTTATCACGCCTTATGCGATCTCTCAGTTCTTCTATTTATTTCGGTGACAATGTACATCTCACTGTAAATATGGATCGAGGTGCAGATCCTGTTACTGTTAAATACTGTCAAACATTTGAATGGTCTTTTGGTAAAATGACCATTAGATACCGTATAAAGCAAGGTGGTTTGATTACTGCTGTCGTGGAATCTTATTATCCGACTACCAATGATGATTACGCTATAATTTTAGAAGATGATATTGAAGTTTCTCCATTCTACTATATATGGTCAAAATATACCATCTTAAAATATAGATATGGAGCTGATCGAAGTTTAACCAGTAGATTGTTTGGTGTCAGCCTTTACGATACAAAACTCAACGAATATAATACAACTGGTCGTAAACGGTATAATCCTGCAAAAGTTTTAAAGAATACAAAATATCCTAATCAATCACCATATCTTTTCCCAGCACCTTGTAGTTGGGGTGCATTATTTTTCCCTGAAATATGGCGCGAATTCCATTACTATCAGAATGCTAGATTGCAGGATGTTTTTGGACCTAAACTACAGAATATAAATGTTCCAAAAAGTAAATCAAATTCTTGGCCAAAATCTTGGAAACGTTTCTTTATAGAACTTACTTACCTTCGTGGTTATGTGATGCTTTATCCTAATTATAAAAAATCTGTTAGTTTTACAACTAATCATGCTGAATACGGAGTTCACTTTCGTGTCAAAGGAAAGAAAAAAGAATTATGGCTCCTTCCATTAATGAAAAAAGATATTCTATTGAAAGGACTACCTAATAATCGTTTACCAGATTTCAAAGATTTACCAACTATGGATCTTTGGGGAAATCTTGCGACTCCAGAAGAATTAATTCGAAGTGGACGTTCACTACACTCGAAAATTTCGATTTGTCCTCCCAAAGATACTGATGAACTCACTTATGATCCACGTGACCTATTATGTGTGGATAATTCAACTCTTTCCAATAATGTAAATACGAATAAACTAGCAGCAGGGGAGAAAAATCCTGCTGAAGGACCAATAATGGAAGATAATATAAAATCACCTATTAATGAAAAAGAATTAAACCTTTGATGAACAAGAAGACCAATAATAAAAGATTTTATAAAATTTCCTATTAATAAAAAAGAAATAAAACTTTTGCTGAAAAAAATCAAGTTTTTTTTTTTTTTTTTTTTGAGAATTGAAAGATTAATACTTTGCTATTGTTTAAAGTTTTTAGAATTTAAACCGGTTTATGAATTATGTTCTATATATCTTTGATATAGTGTAACTGAAAAAAACTAACCACATCCAAATACAGAACCACATTAGCAGTACAGTAATCGTATACTACATTGATATAGAAACCTTATTGCTTATAAATTACATTGATTGTTGCCGTCATTTACAGATTTAAAAAAATTCTCTGTGCATTTTTTAAGGACTGTTGCTCTATTGTAACCAGTTTAAAATTAAAAAGGCTTGAGCGTACTTTGAAATATATGGTTATGTAAATTAATATTATTGCGATTTGCAAGTAATTAGAAAAAAAGAAATTAGGCTACGGAAATTGGTTCTCGTCACATGAAACTTTTTAAATAGACCCGGCCGGCCGGCTTTTTTAAAAAAATTTGCCGAACGATTTTTCAGTCGATTCGGTAAAGTTTGTGATTTTGGGAATAATAGATTCAAAATTTGTGCTGCCAAGGCAAAATCCGTAAGCAAATATTTGAGGTATCAATAAGCGAGTTTAATCCTGGTAAAATTGTGATATTACGTATTAAGTCATTGTATACAATTTGTATACAATGATTTAATACGTAATATTTCCCCAGATTAAACTCGCCTTATTGATACCTCAAATATTTGCTTACAGGTTTTGCCTTGGCAGCACTCATATATGAGTGCTACAAGGGAAAAACTTATTGGGCTTTCAGTTATATTTTTTTGCACCAGGCACAATTTAGAATTGTGCGGTAAAAATATAATTGAAAACCTGACAACAAGTTTTTTCTTGACGACACTCATATACGTAATTTAAGATCAGTTTACTTTCAAAGCATCTTAGCTAGCAAATAGTTGAAATTTTTTAGAATGCATGGATTAAGTCTATTAGAAGTGACTCTTCATTTGACACTGGATCATTAGAAGTGATTAATAAGTATCTACTATATGGTTTATAAAGTAATATTTTTTTGCCATGTCCATTGATTGGTCACACCCCAGTGACATACCAAACATTTTAGACGAGCATTAAAGCGAAAATTCAATAACTTTGACATTATTGTTATAACGATCATAAATAGTCACTATAATACAAAATAGCTTTTATTCTACCAACCATACCGAATTCATAATCAAACCGACCGAAAAATCATTCAGCCAATTTTTATCAGGTGTTCCAGAAATTATGATAATATGTAATTAACATTGCATGACCTTTACTGGATTGATTTCATTATGTAATTGCGTATAAGGGAAGTTTTTTTTTAAAAAAACTAAATACTGATACGAAATGATCAAAATTCAATTTTTGAAATAATTTCAAATTTGATTTGCGATAATAATTTCATTTTATTTCATTTTATTATTGATGGAAGTATTCACCGTCCCTAATACAAATGTCTTATTATCACATATTTTACGATCGCAGTATAATTGATTATTTGTGGGCTGCCACCAATCAATTAATTGCCCTCACAATTAATTATTTGGTAGGTATGAAAAAAGGCATTGATTGATTAAGAAAAATCAGTAAGCAAAATCTTTTTCTATCACTTATAAATATACTGCATCAGTGTATATTTCTGTTTTCATCGCTAAGTAATTCTTCGTAAATTTTAATATAACGTGACTGTCGTTTTCATTCGTCACTACTGGTCTACCTTTTGCATTTACATCCTGCGCATTGTACAAAGGAAAATATGCCTATACCCCACGTGAAATTGGAGAAATTCACATCATTATAATAGATTATACCTTATCGATTAGATTTCCCTATATGAGTGCCGCCAAGAAAAAACCTGCAAATCTTATTTGCAGGTTTTCTTTTGGCGGCACTCATATGTCGCTGATGCCCGTGTAACTTAAGGGATAACCCCTCTCGAAGGGGCGTAGATAGACCGGGTAAGTATTTATTTAATACGCGAGATGATTTTGTAAAGCATAAGACATGCTATTTTTATATCCCTTGCAAATCTGCTAAACATACTAAATATGCTATTTCTACTAAATAACGATAAAGTTTGCTACTACAAATCTGTCATTTCTACTAAATAAAGTATAAATCTGCCAATTCTACTACTAAATGTACAATTTCTGCAATTCCTACCACACTAGCCTAAATAATATGCGATCGATTATATCATCGCAATAGTAGTCAATTTTAAAAAAGTTAAATTTAGCCCAATACGTATTAATGACGGATCTAAGAGTTAACAAAGAAAAGTTGTGTTTGCATATAGTACCAAGCGTGACAAATAAGTAGATCAATTTTTTTATAATATTATTTATACAATCATGTGAAAATAACTGCATGTGATTTTTAATTTTCCACTAAGTAAAGATTGTGACACATCGGGGTACTATGTGCAGCGCTGTACGTACGTGCGTACTCCTACGTATCAAATTACGTATAACAATATTAAGTACGTACTAGGGCACATGTCAAACCCGCCAAGGTTACGATAACCTAAATATTATCCATCTTAGGCCGCAAGTCCTCGTTATAGCGTTTTCGTGTCTATTGTCTTCTGAACACAAATTAGCAATAAATGTTTATTTACCAATCCCATTCACGATAAACTTATTTGTTATTATTTCTTTCTCAATAATTTTCTTCAATTTCCTTACAAAGCTATAACTATGGTTTTCTCTATATACAAACAACGAACCTACCCATATCGAAAAATTATTAAAAATAAATATATCGCTGAATGTTTATGTTTATTATTTACATTTTTAATATTGTTATTTTTATTTATTAATTTAGATGGATATTCTATCAAATCAATTTCTTCTCAAATTCAAGAAGCCAATACAAATATCGATGATACTAGAAACATTATAGTTATAGTTGACGATGATCAACATGTAAACAGTCTGCAACCTATTTATTGTAATCTGCATAGAAAAAGAAAATTCGAAAATGTACGCACACATGTAATAATTACTGGTCGTGGAATAAGCGGTACTGAATTAATAAAGTCTAATTCACTATTGTCAAATTGTGATGTACCAGTATATGACTTAGAACTTCAAAAAGGCAATAAAAATATTTTAATGCCAGTTGTCAAAGAAATAACTGATATATTGGATCAAATTCAGCCGGATATTTTGATTTATATAAATGATCCTAAAAACGAAGTAATGCGTGGTGTTGACGCCGCACTAGCTGCTACTTCTCAGATAAATAATGCCATTACAAAAATTGCAATACCTATTAAACACATGAAACATATGATGTGGTTAAGTGATTTATCTATAGAGGCGCTTAAAAGTGCGTATTAAATTTTTTAATTTTTTTTTTGTTCTGTTTTCTATCATTTATATATTACATTCATATCTAACCTATTATATTTATTATATCTATTATATCACAGACTGGAACATTCCAAACATTCAAATACAAGTAATTACTCAAGATCGTCCTCTTTCTCTATCACGTCTTATGCAAT